ACACCGGGCGGCGGGGGCTGTCCTCCAGGCGTTGGTGGCCAAAGGCGGCGTCGGACACCAAGCAGCTCCTCGTAGTCCCTCACTGACCCATGTATCCGGGGCGCGAGTATGGGAAGGGCAAGTGCCTAATGTTTCTTGGTTTCCCCCCGCTTTCCAGGTTGCAATGGAAGGAGCCGGAACGTCACGTGATCCGGTTTGGCAGGTCACATGACGAGGAGCCCCCAGCGGCTGGTTTTGGGGAAGGCGTCTAGGTTGCGGAGCTCCTGGTCACCTTGGAGGTGGGCTCCCTGTAGCAGGGGATTGGAACCGACTTTCCCCCTCAGATGCTGTACTTTCGGGTGGTATCTATCCTGTGGGGGACATAGAAATTCACGCCGAGAGAGGACGCCCGTTTCCCCGCGCATCCCGACCCTTAAAAAGAGATATTCCGGCGCAGTACAAGGTCATGAGACCCTTCCTGAGGTCAAGCGGACGGTTGTGGCCAGAACGCTTTCAAATGGCGGAGCGTTCTGGGCATTGGGAATACTTGAGTGACGTTTGCTACCAAACATGGAATACTAAGAGGTTTTGGGTGCCAAATCCAGGAAAAATATGGGCGTCAGGAAAAGCCTAGGGAAAGTAGACTGTGAGTAGGTTGTGAAGGTGCGTGGTCCTGCTAATTGTACTGGAGAAAGAAATAATACACAAAACATCACTTTGCTTCCCTCCTGCAAACGAAGGAAACGGATGATAGGCCCTTTGAATAAGGTAGGGGACACGACTTTAAAAATATGAGGAAGTCATTCACTCCAAAGAAAAAGTTTGTATACTTCACTGGTAAGAGGCAGGTTTGTAATAATCACTCAGGGAAATGCATGTTTGAAGAACACAGTTCTGTTCTGAGCTTGTACCCAGCCTAGTGAAGACAGTGATCAAAGCATGATTGAGAGGGGCCATTCTGAACCCACGACAAACAAACCGTGGTCAGTATAATTTTGTGGTACTTTTTCACTTATCTTGTGCATATTGTTCTGAAAAGGGTAATGAGAGAGAACATAGAACCTGGATCACAGGTAGTGACTGCAGTGTACTAAAGGGACTGGGAAAATGGCCTTGAGACATGAATTTCATGTCTCTTTTGTTTGAGACTATTTGGGGAAGGAAACCAAAAGATTTTAGTCTGCTCTAGGAGCACCTTTCGTATTCCAGGACTTTTGGGGGTAGGTGTGTGAATAGCGGTGGAGGGAAAGTTGGGAAAGAACAGAATCAGGAATTTTTAAGTTGCCCACCAAGCATGAAGTCTAGCTCCTGGGAAAGGAGAATTAGTTGAGGTAGTTCATTTCTCCAAGAAATCCCCCCACCCACCCCTGAGAGCATTCTCTGGATGTTTGCAAGTAGAGTCAGTGCTTCAGGCCAGATCAGGCAGCCTTGTCCAGGTACTGTCCCTGAGGGCCACATTCAGCCTGCAGCCTGTGCACGTCTCTAGCAAAGCACAGGGGTGTTAGTTTTGTTTTGTTTTTGTATTTTTAAATGTTGTAAAACAAAAGAAGAATATTTTGTGACACGTGAAGTTCACATTTCACTGAGCATGAATAAAGTTTTATTGGAACACATTCACACTCATTCATTTTCATATTGTCCCATTTGCTACACTGGGAGTTGAGTAGTGACAGAGTCTGTGTGGCCTACAAACCATACAATTTTTATTTGGCTTTTTTGTGAAAAGGTTTGCTGCCTCCCCCTCCCTCCTAGCACCCCACTCTCCCCACCACCACCACCCTGCCTGGGCCAGTGGGCTACTGATGCAGAGAATTTATTTTGGAGAGCTGAAGTTTTCCAGGTGGGGGCACCATAGAGCTCAGATAGTGATACTGTTCTCTATGTTGCTGGGCTTTAAGTATTCGTAGGCAAGGTCAAGTTGCTCATTCCGGGCTGTCATTTCCCTCTCCCAGTTTTCCAGATCTGTATGGAATTGGTTTAGTACAGCTTTGGTCTTGGATCCCGAGAAATACTGTTCTTTGTGATGCCCCAGAGGAACCTAAGAACGAACAAAGGATCAGTCAGTTTCTAGTTTGAAGGCAGAAGCACCTAGAGCATTTTGAAAAACCCTAACTTAACTCTGATGCCGTGTCACATATAGAAATTTTTTGATATTTGCAACCATAGTAAAACAAAGACTTATATTTTTGATATTTATTTTATATATTTAAATGCCATTTAACAAAGAAAAATCAACCAAAAAAATGAGTTCGCGTGTCAGAGGTGTCATAGGTTCGCCATTGCTGACCTAGAGCTTAGCCCTTAGCCCCTCACTCTGATGTTCCCCTTCCATAATCATTTCTCTTTCCCCAGAGTCCTCACTTACCATGTCTGGCTGGCGTCGACCTAGATGCCATGTGATGGTCATTTGAAGACAGGCCTGTTGGACATCAGGGAGTGAGCCCATCACGGTGTCCATTGTCACATCTTCCTTGGTGGTGGGTGGGGGCATTCGCATTGTGCATGGGGCATTAGGCACCCAGGCATACCAGTCCAGCTGGGGAAAGAAAGTACAAACCTAGGATCCTGGCACTTAGGGTTTGAACCCCTATCTCCCTTGGGTATCCACTTGCTTTCGGGACCTGGGCTTTCATCTGTCCATACCTGGCCCTTGTTGATGGCCCCATGCTGGGCTGTGCACGTGAACACACACATGGTAAGGAAATGGCAGAGCTGATTCAGAGACTGGAAGGAGACAGGGAAACCTGGGGAGGAAAGGAACAGGATTTAGAGGCTACAGCATGAGAGGAGAGAAATAAAGGTTGATGTCTGCGTTTTGGAATTGATGGGTGTTGGTTCATTTATTCAAATATATTTGCATCAGACATCAGTTTCAGTTTAGGCTCAAGCAATCCAGTTTGGGTACCTTAAGCCAATTAACTCTCTGACCTCAATTTTTTCACCTATAAAGTGTGGATGATACTTACCTTCTAAATGAGATTCTGTATCAAATATTGATATTACTGCTTAATAAATAATTATTGTCATTATGGAAGGGTTGGGGGCTGAAAGGGTTAAGTGATCAAATATCTTCTGCCTTAAAAAATGGTTAAGAATTTAGGGTTGCTCCCCCCTATTCCCAATTACAATGTGAGGAATAAGAGAAGTCATGATTTCTAGTGTCACAGCCAAGAGAGGCTTTCTACAAAGCTTATCCCAGGCTGCCCAATCACCCTATCAGTTAAGTGGAACAAGTATAATCACTCTCCTTTTATAGATAAGACAGACACAGTTGGGAAAAGGCAGAGGCTGACCTTGAACTTGGGATCCTGACTGCTAATTTCTGACAGTTTTTAATCTTAACACGTTTCCTCTACAAGTCTGTTGGGAAAATTAGGCAAAAGTCATCTATGAGAACTGAGGGAGAGAGAATGAGAGGCCGTTAGTTGGGAGGTTAAAGTTAACATGTGGAGGTTGTATTTTCCAAACGTAGTTGGTAATAGTTGGGGAAAAGATGGCCAGGCAGAGGAAGTAGAGACTTGGGGGCATGTGGAGCCTAAGGAGCAGTATTGAGATGTCCTAGAGCAGGGGTCCTCAAACTATGGCCTGCGGGCCACATGCAAATACAAATATTGTATTTGTTCCCGTTTTGTTTTTTTACTTCAAAATAAGATATGTGCAGTGTGCATAGGAATTTGTTCATAGTTTTTTTTAAACTATAGTCCGGCCCTCCAACGGTCTGAGGGACAGTGAACTGGCCCCCTGTTTAAAAAGTTTGAGGACCCCTGTCCTAGAGAGTTTGGTCCTGGGAGGGTGGGGATGGTGCTGCCTCAGATTCTGCAGGGAGAGGCCCCTCCAGAGCATAGGTGTTGGCTTATTGCTCACTGCATCTCCCGGGTCTGACCACAATGGCTCCCCAGTAAATGTCTGTAGGTGTCCTACAGAGGTAGAGATGTTGGGGTGAAGTGTGAGGAGCAGGGACTGAAGGACGATTTGAAGCAGTCCAGGTTGGTCCACGTGTGCTAGAGAGACGAGGATGAACCTAGGAGAGCTCAAGAAAAGCAGTTTCTTCCCCAGCAGTTAAATGTGATTCGGGTATGCTAAAGCTAATGACTAGATCTTAAGCCAGTGACTAGATCCCAGCAGGGGTCGGGGGAGGACAGATTGGCAAAGGAATGTGAGCACCAAGGGACAGGGAACTGAGTTTAGATTTGAGCCAAAGGTATAGTATTGAGCTTGCACCTGGAATGACCGTGTACTGTGGTAAAGTGTGCAGTATGCCTGGACCCTCTGTGTGTGCTGGACAGTAGCAGACAGGATAAGAAAGGAAAACCAGAGTGGGTCATTGTGGGATTTGGTGGGAAAATCTTCCCATTCATATCCTCAGGCAGGAAAATAGACATTATGAAGAGAGATGTGAGCCCCAGTAGGGCCTGGCCAGATCCCCCACTGGCTGTGGTTCTGGACCCACTGGGCCCCATGCTGTGGCAGGTTGGGGGCATCTGTGACTAGACAAGGGGGAAGGACATAAAAGTTGATGGTCAGGGTCTTTGAGGAGGATAATCCTTGAGTTTCTAGGATTGTCCTGAGACTTAGGAGGTGGGAATGAGATCCAGATGCTTCATGTGTGGAGGGTGAGAGGGGGATGAAGGGTTGGGATCATGTCCCTAGAAGGGCAAGGCTGACAAGGGGCTCTGGGAAGAGTGTCCAAGGAGTTCTCTTCTCTGGGGAGGGATCTCACCTCGGTCCTGGGCCTGGCACAGTCCCACCTCAGTGATCTCCCGACACCAGGCCTGCAGCTCAGGGTCCCCTCTCACGACGTCATCCCCGTGGTAGAAGAGGTGGACGATCCCTTCCACGTACCTGCCCAGAGGAGAAGGGAGCTGAGCTCCTTGAGAGTACAAGGCTGTAGCCTCTGACCTCTACTCCTTTTCTGTGGCCTCTGTCCAACACACTCTTACTATGTCTGAGTGTAGATCCTTTAAGACTTGTCTTTTGAGACATTAGTGTAGAAAGGAATGAAATTTGGTCACTTGTAGAAATTCTCCATACATGGTTGATAGATAAAATGGACACAGTTGGAACAAAAACCCTGATTTCTCCAGATCCCCCAGTCTCCCCATCCACAGCTATCCCAGCCGAGGCTGTCTACCCCCATCCTAGTCTCTTCCTTATCAGACCCTACTCGCTGTCTCCTCACTGTCCCTCATCTCTCCCAGGATTGAGTCCTCTGCTCCTCCCGTCTGGACCTTCTTGTTTCATGTTCCTTTTGTCCCATGATGACCTCAGGCCAAAGCCCCATTTTCATTGTCATTTCTCAGCTCCCACTCTCACCCACCGAGCAATGATCTCCCAGAGCCGTAAAGCATCATGGGCATAGAGGGCACTTGGGATGCCCAGCAGGCCCCGGTCAGCCAGATCGTCAGGAGGACAGAGGGAGCGGTAGGTCAGCTGAGCCATGGCCCGCCGGATCAGCTGCACATGGCCGCCTCCACCAGTGCTCACAGCCTGGGACAAGAGAGATGAGAGGCCTTGAGGAAGAAGACAGAGCATAGTGTACAGGAGGTTCAGACGTGGGGTTCTCACATTTAAAGACATGGGTATAAAGGGACAGACTCCTGGGTTTAAGGGTCAGGGCATTCACACAGGTTGGTCTGGGATCTTGAACGTGACAGCAGTTAGATGGCCCCACATTCCATTACCTCCTTACCTTATCAAACACACCGCCCTCTGAGATGAGTTGGGTCCTCGCCCGTGTGTTGATCTCTATGGTGTAGCGGGTGTGTGGGATCAGGAGCTGGATGGAGAAGGTTGGAGGAGTGGTTTATGGAGGACGTGCTTGGGCCCTTCTTTATCAGGGAGTGGCGCTCAGCATGGTGGCCTCCTGTCCTCTTGATGCTTTCCTCCTTGCTAGCGCCTTTGCAGGCTGGCCTCCTTCTACTTCTCTGGTCACTCATTCTCATGCTCTTTACTCCCCTGTGAGTCAGGCTCTGGAGCTAGACCTCCCTGGGTCTCAATCTACACTTGGATCCTTGCCCAAGGTACTGGACCCTCTAATAATAATCTGTCTCATCCCCTATCTGTCACCTCATCTGCCAACAGGGGGTGATAATAGGGTTTCTTATCTCGGGAGGCAGTGGTGATGCTTAGGTGAGTGACGTATGAAGAGGGTAGAGTACACACAGAAGTCCTCAGGTCTCAGCTGTTGTCATTTATCTTCATTATTTCCACCTTCAGTGTTTGATTTTGAAGAGTCAGCCCCTTTTGATTTTCTTTTATATTTCTATCATTTGCATCTTCATAACTCATAATTACCTCTTTACTCATTATCAAAGCCACACTCTTATCTTCTGGTCGCTTCACAGTTGGCTTTTAGGGGGTGAATACCTTTAGTCAGAATAAAAGGAGGCATTCTAAGCTACCTACTGAAGCAACACGGGGGCTGCACGGTCCCCTTAGGCAGTTATTTTTAATAGCTTTTTAAACAAGAGCTTTCCTGAAGTGTTAAAAAAGGCTACATGAGGATGTATATTTCTTTTTATCTCAGACTATTTTGTGTTCATTTCCACCCAGTTTATATACAGGTCTTCTGTAGTGTTGGTATTTATCTGAGTTCATGCTGGACACAGGGAATGTGATACCTCTGGTGTCAAGATGTCAAAGCAGCTCACAGTCTGAAACTTTTCAGAAAGTTGATGAAAGAGGTTGAGTTGTCATAGAAAGTCCAAAGTCCACATGAGGAGAGAAGATACCTGAGGACAATCGATTCCTAATAAGAGTAACAATAATATCAGGAACTAATGGTTTTTCTAGCTTTCAGCCTGTGTTACATTGTTATGTCGTTTTATCCTTCATCAACCCTCGGTGGAGCTCCTGTTGTCCTCATTTAGAGATGAGGACACTGAAGCAAGCCCCTGGTCAGTTCTGAGGCCAGGATTCAGGATTAGATGCTGGCAGTCTGAATCCAGAGCCTGCCTACATTACAGGTTCGTTCTCCTGTGTGTCCTGATAACAGCTCAGCGGTTTGCCAGGAGATGAAGCTGTTTTGGTGAGTGGATGGAGGTGTGGAGAGGGATGAACTAGTAAAGGGGGGTGAGCAGCAGATTGTGATGCAGGAGCACCATGAGGTCAGTAAAATCTAAGATTCTATTAATCACACAGATTCCATCTCGTCTATGTTACCCCAGACTCAATGAGGCCATAGCTAATGTTGGGCAGGTTTGGGGGTCAGGGTGTAAATCCCCAGCTTGAAACACAGTTCAGTTCTCCTTATCCAGATACTCATTTGCATATCTTGCCAACATTTCAAACTCTGTGGACCTGACACTAAACAACTTGTGTTTGCTTTGTGTTTGTTTCCAAACTGTCTTTCTCTCATGACTCTGCTGTTTTTGGCAGTTGCTCTGGATCATAAGCTTGTATCAGTATTGTCCCTTCTCTGCCATGTTCCTTATACCTAAAGTGTCATCGAGATTTTGAGAATAGCCCTAGCCAGTTTGGCTCAGTGGATAGAGCGTCGGTCCTGGGTTTGATTCCGGTCGAGGGCATGTATCTCGGTTTAGGCCCCATCCCCAGCCCCAGGTGTGTACAACCAATCCATATCTCTCTCTCACATCTATGTTTCTGTCTGTCTATTCCCCTCCCCTTCCATTCTCTAGAAATCAATAGAAAAATTTCCTCAGGTGAGGATTAACAACAACAACAAAAAAGATTTTGAGAATACTTTCAAGCAAGCACAAGTCTTATTTTGCTGCCTTTTGCCTGGCAGTAGATACTGAGCTCACTCTCTTATAAAATTACAACCCACCCATCCTGTGGACTCTTAGGTGTTACAGCTTAGACCTGTGACCTTTCTCTCTTCGGTCTTATTTGAAGTCATGTGCACCTGCTGTTTCCTCCAAGTCTTTGATTTGTTTTCTTGTCATTCCTGTAACCACCTTGCATGTCTTTCTCCACCTATTTCCTGGGCAGGTATAAGTAACCTACTGGAGTGCTCTCCTTGCCTTTTGATCCATTCCTACAGCAGACTCCTCAGTTGGGGTAGGACATTCTCTGTCAATACTATAGTGTTTATAGGCTGTCTTGTGATTTCAAATTCTAGTTCTAGATATTATTCACTGGTTAGTTCTTATGGGCATCACTTGTCTTCCTGGATAAACAATAAATCTCCTAAGACAGGAGCAAGGGTTTTGTTTTACTAACAATATTCCAGTAATACTCCAGGCTCATTGCTAGATGGTCAGGTCTCTGGAATTTCAGAGGGTTCCCTTATAACATGTCCTGAAGAAACATTAAGTGACTTGATGCAATTAAAACGCAAGTCTTAAAATATTGACACAGTCTTCCTTTTCTTCCCTCTTTCTTTCACAAATGGATGTAAACATTTTTTGCTGCTGCAGTATCATGTGATACTGGCCATTTCCCCTCTTGGATCTGAGCAAGATGGGACATGGAGGGTAGAGGATTTACCTTGAAGACAGGGTGCAGTCCTGGGAGGCACCTCATGGTGGCGACAGCAATGACTTCACCCACCAGATGAGTGTTCAGCAGATGGTATTGGAGCTGGTGAAGTTGGAAATCTGAATTTCGTACCCAGATCTTTGCCAGGAGCCAGGCAAGTGGAGGATCCGAAGGCAGGAACAGTGATGGGGTCGGGGAGCTGGGGTTGGGAGGCTGGATCTGGGAAAAAGAAATTGAATGTTTATTGAACTTCCACTTTATGAAGGACATTATGGTCACCATTCCTGGGGAAACAGAGGGAACTGAGTAAGGTTATTCTTTTCCAGGAAGTTATAATCTAGGAGGAACGAGGACCCTTCCACCCTGCCTCTCACTGGCTGTGCGGCCATATGAGTGCCATGATGGTCAGGTTGAATGCAGGAGAGTCAGAAGCAGAAGTCCAGTAAGGAGATTCTAACAGTGGTTTGGGAGAACTGTGGTGAGGTTCTGAGTTAGGGTGGGAGGATTGAAAAGGAGAAACTGGATGTGTTAGATAATTGACAGTATTTGCTAACTGAGAACTTTGGGAGAAAAGATATTCAGGAAACAATGTGTATTTAGAGTCAAGGCAACTGAGAGAGTAAATAGTGATTCTCAAAGTGTGTTCCCAAACTAGCAGCATCAGCATCACTTTGGAACGTGTTAGCAAGGCAAATTCTCAGTCCCCACCCGAGATCTACTGAATCAGAAAATCTGGTGGTGGACCCAGAACCTGTGTTTTAACTGGCCCTTCAGGTGGTTCTAACGCACTCTAAAGTTTGAGAACCACTGAGTACAGGGTGAGAACTCCAAGAGGCCATTATGACTCTTGAACAGGTACTTCCAGTTGGGTGAGTCAGGGAAAACCAGGCTGCAAGCAAAGACTGACATGAGGACACGTCTCACTGAGTGAGGATTGAATTTGGGAACCAAAAGCCAGAGGGCTGGGTCCCTGGGAGCAGAGATTAGGATGAACAGAGAGCAGTGTGGGGAGGCGGTGCCTCACCTGGATGACCATGGGCAGCAGCTTCCCACTGGGTTCCATCTTCAGCATGACAAGGGGGGCAGCCAGGTACTGCTGCTCTTCTCGGATCACATTGGCTGGAATTCCATCCAGAAGGATGAAGTCAGCTTCAAACAGGGAACCTTTCTGGGGAAAAGTTGAACATATCCATAGTTAGAATTCAAAATCTACAGAGACAGGGCAAAGGAGGCAAGACATTTAAAGATACTTAATTTGCCCTAAGTGGTTTGGCTCAGTGGATAGAGCGTCGGCCTGCGGACTGAAGGGTCCCAGGTTCGATTCCAGTCAAGGGCATGTACCTTGGTTGCAGGCACATCCTCAATAGGGGGTGTGCAGGAGGCAGCTGATCGATGTTTCTCTCTCATCGATGTTTCTAACTCTCTATCCCTCTCCCTTCCTCTCTGTAAAAAATCAATAAAATATATATTAAAAAATAAATAAATAAAGATACTTAATTTTATTAACCAATATCACTCCAATAAATTTAATTAAAAAATAAAGATATTTATCTATTGTCTTGCCATCATCCTATATTAGTACCAGAGCCCTATTGTCAGAACCAGAGCATCTTGTCCAATTCCTTTCATCTATATATATAAAAGCCTAAGCAACCGAATGACCAAACGACCAGTTGACCAGTTGCTATGACCACTGGGGGGCAGATGCTCAATGCAGGAGCTGCCCCCTGGTGGTCAGTGTGCTCCCACAGCCAACCTCCCGTGGTCCCTCCCCCTGGCTGGCCGGCCAACCTCCTGCAGCCCCTCCCCTGGAGCTGCCCTCCCCACCCCCAATCGGCCCTGATTGCCGGCCAGGCGGAGGGATCCCACCCGTGCACGAATTTGTGCACCGGGCCTCTAGTTTTAAATAAATGAAGAAACAACCTGGTGTGGGTTGATGGCTTGTGCAGGTTTTGTGGTAGCAGGTCTGGGTTTAGAACCAGGCCTCAGTCCAGTTTGCATTGCAGGCATTGCAAACTCTCCCATTGTCAAGATGGCTGTGCCCCTCCCCCAACATCCCCTAGCGCTCTGCTCCCTGTGTTGGGTGCCCATCAGCTCAGCAAACGCTCTTTCACTCACTGTCCAAATTTCACCTCCTTTGCCAAGTAATCCTCAGAGGTTCCTTGACTATCATTGCCATGGAATCCAGACACATGCACATGGACACGCTCACATCCTGCTTTGTTTGTCTGCCTTACATCCAACTCATCTTTTCTGTATCCAGCTTCCTCCTCCAGGAAACCTCCTCAATTCCCCCCCACCTGACAGTGCATTCTTTTTTTTTTTTTTTAAATATACTCTTATTGATTTCAGAGAGGAAGGGAGAGGGAGAGAGAGAAAGAGAAACATCAATGATGAAAATCATTGCTTGGTTGCTTCCTGCATGCTCCCTACTGGGGAGCAAGCCAGCAATCTGGGCATGTGCCCTGACCAGGAATTGAACCTTATCCTCCAGGTTCATAGGTCAATGCTCAACCACTGAGCCACACTGCTGGGCTGACAGTGAATTCTTCACCCTTCTTTCTGCCCATGAACACTGGGAATGTGTTTGTCCCAGTTAACATGTCTGGCCCCACCTGCATGCACCTTGGACATCCATGCTGGGAGTTCCTCATAGTTTCTCCTACATGTTTTATCATCTCTAGGTTTTTTACCAGCACAGGACTCTTCACCCAAGGACAAGAGTTACCACAGCCTCCCTTCCCAGACTCACTTTTGGTTCCTCCTCTTCACCACTTCTCCCCACACAGACAAGGAGAGAACAATGTAGGGTGGGAGGAGATACCTGGAGTTCTTTCTCCAACTGGGCCTGAAGCTCTTCCATTCCTGAGGGCAGCACCAGCCGGGAGGGCAGAGAGGTGGAGCGTCTCAACAGCATGGGGTTGGCGCCATTGAGGAACTGGTAGCCAAAAAACTCATCATCCTGCCAGCGCTGGTGAACCTTCTCTGTGGGGTCAGGGTGGAGGGTAGGAGGAGGATATTCTTTTAAAAAAAATTGAATTTATTGGGGTGATATTGGTTGATAAAATTATGTAAGTTTCAGGTGTATAATTCTATAATACATCATCTGTATACTATATTGTGGGTTTACCACCCCAATGATTCAGGCATATGATTGCCCTGTATCCAGCCCCTCTCTGAGATGACGTCTCATCTGGCAAGGCCTTATTGGGGACTACGGAGTATGAAGGTTAGGTCATCAAAAGGGGCCATCACAGGTTTATAGACACCTGGGGGAATCACTGACCAGCCAGATTGCTCTTCTGGCCCCAGAAGATCTGATCAAAATCCTCCAGATGGTTCCAGGAGCTCAGGAGGGTGTACACACGCTTGAGGGCCATCTCCAGTGCCCTAGGACAGGCATTGAGGCATGAGCCCCTTTGCTGACTCCTCAGCCCCTCACTGTTTACCACCATTCTTGGGTCTCCCAGCCCTTAGTCTACTCTGAGCTCCAGGCTTTTCCTCACCCAGCCTTCAGTGTCCATTCAAAGTCCAGCCTCTTCTTCTCGTGGAATCTCACATTTGGAGGTAGATCGTCCTCACTGCCTGCAGCTATAGTCAGGGGTAACCCTTCCTTCCAGGTGGCCCAGCTAGGACATGGGGACAAGGTTCAGGTCAGTGATGTGGGCAGGGTCAGGAGAGGGGGGTGAAACTTGGGGTCTAATATGGGTGGGTGGTCACCAGTATACTTGCTGTCTTTCCTTCAGTTCCTTCTCTCGATGTTTCTGGAACACATCTGATGCATTGTCTCCTGCCAGGCGGGCTGGGGAGACATGAAGACAATTGGCCACACAGTTTTGCGTGTTCCTGTGCTCTGTCCTCACCGTCCTTTTCGTATCGTAGTCCCTGTGTTCAGTTGTGCTCTGTTGCTTTTATCTCCGTCTGTTCCTCAGTTCATTGATTCCCCAGACACATTTATCCCAGCTTTGCCCTCCTGGTCTCACTTATCTCAGCCCCCGTCTCTTGCCTTGAGACCAAAGTGTCATGTTTGCCACCATTTTCTTGTCCCTTAATCCATCTTTCCCTACCTGATCCGATTTCATCCATATCTATGGTTGGATAAATCACCTGAATTAAGGTGACAAAATCTTTTTTTAAAAAATCTTTACCTGAGGATATTTTTCCATTGATTTTCAGGGAGAATGGAAGAGAGAGGGAAAGACAGAGAGAAACACCGATATTAGAGAAACAAATTGATTGGCTGTCTCCTGCACGAGTCCCGACCAGGACCTGGGCCGAGGAGGAGCCTGCAATGAAGGTCTGTGCCCTTGACTGGAATCGAACCCCAGATCCTTAGGTCCGCAGGCCGATTCCAGTCACGGGTCTATCCACTGAGCCAAACTGGCTAGGGCAAGGTGATTAAATCTTAGTCACCCCTATGCCCACACCTGTTTTCCTACTACATATTGCTTTGGTGAATTTTCACTTCTTGCATCTCACCTGCCACACCTGCAGCTGTTCTCAAAAGCTGTTTGCTTTCTTTACCTGACTTCGTCTTTCCTAGACTTACTATTGAAGTCCGTGTTTACTGACTTCTTCCTGCTCTTATCAGTACTTATACTCACCTGTATCAAAGTCAGATACGTAATGTTTCCAGCCTTACCTGTTCTCACCCCCATTTGTCTCTGTGTTCCTGTCTCTTATTTACCACAGTAATTCAATATTTGCTGTCCTCCTTCATTCCAACAGTCAGCGTGCTCCCTGCCCTCACAGGTGTCTTTCCATGTGGTCACATCATTTATTGCTCCCCTTCCCTGCTTCCTCTCAGGGGTCACATGTGCTAGCCTTACCTGTCCCTGCCCTAACTGGTTCCCAGTCACACGGAGATTCCTTTCCACTTTACTTTGGCTCTTCTGTTTCCCAGCGTGGCTGCACCTCCCATTCCCTCTGCTCACATTCTTGGGAGGTGGGATGTACACATCACTCACTTCCCTGTCCAGGCCCACTTCCAGCCTTTTTAATTTTATGTGTAAATTTCCCTTCATTGCCTGCCTTGGCCATCCTTAACCTACTGAGCACGCACTTTTTCAAGCCTCTAGTCTAGGACCATCCTCAGTGCAATCCTCCCTCCTCCCCACCCCCCATCCTCCTCTCCACTACTCCCTACGCCCCGCTCCCACTTCCCTGAGGCGGCCCCTCACCGGTGCCCTCAGGCAGGGTCAGCACGCCCTCGCCCTGCACCCAGCGGTAGCAGGGGAAGGCGGCCTCCTCTAAGGCTCCTGGGCCCTGCACGGTGATGCGGTCGCAGAACCAGGCGTCGTCCACCAGGGAGTGGTGTTTGCGCAACTTCACGAACTGCAGTGGCCCCAAGTCCTGGGGAACGTCCTGTTCAAACTCCTCCACCTGTGGGGACAGAACCTGGTGAGACTTAGTAGCGGGGACCCGGGAGAGGACGTTTAACTGAGGGTGCGGGGTCCTCTGCGGAGTCTGGTGACAAGGCCTCCAGGGACAGCATTGCCTCCTCCCAACACCTGTGGTGCCTGTGGGTCTCAGACGCCCATCTCACCAGAAAGAGGAGGGATGCGGGCGAGGCCCACAGTGTCTTGAATTGAACACTGAGCACCATCACCTACCCTGTCCATTAACTGAGCTCTCACCGCGCCCGCGCTCTCAGAGGTCCTTCACCTTGACCATTGATCCCATAGGAACACTGGCCTGGGGTCAATGGGAGAAAAGTAGTGGAGGATGTGAGGACCACGGTGGGGCCGAGGGGAGAGGGGGGAAAGGGGTTGAACCCAGCCAGGGCCCTGGCTCTGAACCTGTCACCCACAGAGGTGCAGGCATCCCTTCTCACTGGAAGGCCCAGCTGGGGAAGCTGCATTGTCATTGGCTCCCAGCCTCCCTCGTCCCGCCCGCCCTCACTCAGCCAGCCCAGTCAGGGGGTCTGAGTCCCCGCTTCCCCCGCCCACCTGGCCCCGCGTTGACCGCAGCTGCAGCTCCAGCTCCGCCTCCCCGCGCTCCCCGACCAGCCACAGCTGCACGCGGTTGAACGACCCGGAGAAGAGCCAGGCCCCGGTGGCCACGCAGATGCGGTAGCGGCCCATGGCGAGGGGGAGCCGCTCAGGGCCGCCGGCGTGAGTCTAGATGCCCTAAGGCAGTTCGGGCCTTGAAAGATGGGTCTGGGTCCCCGCCCTCCTCACTACTTTCAGGCGCTCCCAAGTCTCCGCCCCAGACGAGCCCCAACCTGCCAGCTGCCCAGCAGAATGGGGAAGGGCAGCGCCTACTGGTTCGAGCTGCTGTGGGAAGATAAAGGGGCCCTTGGCCCGGGTGAGGCCTAGAGGATGGATGCGGCAGAGCGCCTCTGAACCTCCGGGCGAGGCCTGGGGCCAAGAGCCTCCAGGTTGGAGGGAGCAAGGATGAGGACACTCCCCAGGCCTCCAGGCCTTTTGGAGAGCTGGTTGATAGAGGGGGTGAGTGGGCCTTCCCCTTCCGGAGCGGAAAGTTTCCCTTTTTCTGGACCGGGGCGTGAGAAGGCGGTGGCCAACATGTGGAAGGCCAGCCTGTGAGGCTTGGCTGGGCTGCTAGACCCCTTATGGTCCCGAAAGTCTTCAGTTCCTGATTTCTTCCGCATCTGAGCGCCGTCCTTCAATAAATGACCAGAGGTTGCCAGGCTGCCTAGAACCTGGAAAAGTAACAGCTCAGAGACTTGCTCCCTGCCTCTCCCTGAACCTGGTTGCAAGCATCCTGGCATTAGGGTCGTAGTTACACCAGATATTGAAGGAGGCCTAACGGAGGCAGGCAGTGAGAGCCTCCTCTTGTCCAACCTTCATAATGGGTGCAGGAAGGGTTAGGGGTCTGGGTATTAGGGTGCAGTATGGAGTCACTTAGGGGCCCAGGATACATGGACAGTTCTCATGAACTTTGCCCTTTCCAGGTGAATGCAGCCTTTTTGTCTTCCTTATATTCCAGGTAAATATTTATAATGGCCTCATTTTACTGACCATGGTGCCTGCTTCCTCTACCAGAATTCTCAGAGATCCACCAATGAACTTGTATGCATATATGCATAACCCATGGACACAGACAATGGGGTGGTGAGGGCCTGGCTGGAAGAGGTGGAAAAGGATGGGGGAAAAGGAGGACCTATGTAATACTTTCAACAATAAATATTTAAAAAATAAAAAAAGAAGTCTAAAAAATTTTATGTGAACAGTAGGCACGAAGTTCCACTTTCTTCTTCTTCTTCCCTCTTGTCTTAATCCCACTCAACCCCAGCTATTTCCTGGTCCTTCATGGCACTCAGGGGAGGAAACCAGGGAACAGGAGTGGGCCAGTGCTGGTTAGGGACTTTGTACACATTAGAAAGATGATTCAGGGCTCAGGCTTTGTCACCCACCCAGGAACCAGATGGAGCCCTTGGTAGGTCCCTAATCTAGATCTTCTTGGTCTAAGAAGTCATTGTAAGCTTTTGGCTTACAGTGAATAGGACTGCTGGCTGGGGTAAGCCAGGGCAAGGTAAATCTGCTTTCTAGAGCGAAACCCAGGTCAAGCCCAAGGAGTCTGCTCATGAGTCTGTGGATTCATAGGTGCATCTTCAATCATGAATACACTTCTAGAAGCAGTTGATTTTGGTCGTTTAAAAAAAGAGTTGTGCTGCACTGTATACATTTTCCGGAAGCTTGCTTTTCTCACTCAAGAGATAGATCTCTTGGAAACCTCTGCAGCTCAATAGTTATGCATCTGACTCATTCTTTTAAATGGCTGCATGGTGCTCCCCAGTGCACCCAGCCATTCCTCTGTTGATGAGCATTCAGTGGTTTCCACTTGTATGACCTGTGCTGAATGCTACAAAGGGCGTGTTTGTACCTACATCCTTGGGAACTTGACGGTTTCACTTCTCTGGGTTAGAGCCCAAGGAAAGGGTGCAAAGGATAAAAGGCTACCAGAATAGAAAAATACCCAGGAACAAAGTAAAACAAACAAATAAAAGACAAACAACACAGCTGTCTTTACTTTTCAGACAGAGGAATACACCAGAAAAGCCGTTGGCTGAGTTGTCATGGAGAGGAGTAAGTCAAGGATTTTCAAAGGGGGTGTTCATAATGTTTACACTAATTAAAGTTGAAAGCTTATACCATGGACAGGCAGGCTACATTGACTACAACGGCTGGATTGTATACAGTCGGTTGAACCAAGTCCTAGGTCCACTAAGAATTAGGCATACCACTGTTACTCGATATTCATGGTTATTTAACATCTCCGGCTTGCTGGAAACAGTTGTGAACACCAGCATTCAGTTTTGCCATCTCCTAGGCAAGTGCTGCTAAAAGTTCTGTTACATGGAATTGCTGGCTGAAAGAGTATGCGTGTGTAGGAGACACAATTCATTTGTGAAATTGTGGAGAACAGGTTCAGTAGAGAGATGGAGGCAGAATGCAGACCAGAGTGCAACCTGCCTTTCAAGAAATAAGGCCAGAAGGGAACAGAGAGAGGGCCGTAGCTGGAGGTGGGTGCGCAGCAGAGCCAGTGAGAGGGAGAGGCTGGGATGCAGGAGAATGAGGATAAGTGACGAGGAGAAGACCCCGAGGGAGGAGATAAAACCTGGAAAATGTGAAGGAACTGGCCTCAGATTGTGCACTCTCACAGTGGGGCAACAACGTCCTAGTTATTACAGTGGTTGGTGGCCTTCCAAAGGGCCATGCACATAAACAGACATGCTAATATATTAAAGTTTCATGGAGCCAGGACAGAGAGCTATTAGGAAAAACATGTCTTCCAGGCTTTGTAGGGGCAAAATGCGGGAAGAGGTAGAGAAACATGGCTCAGGGGTGATTTCCCTAGCGGTACTCACTGCTTGGTTGCTGACACAAGAAAAATGAAAGGTTGGATTCATCCAGAACAAGTAGTGGAACAGGGACCAGAGGCTCTGTGCCTTGTTCTTACCTCCCCAACTTCATTGGTGGAGGAGGTATGGACTCCAGGCATTCTTGTTTGTAGCCAATTTGCATTAGCAAACATGGTGTCAAGATAAGCCTCTTAAATCCCCTCGCCAGGAAATTGGCATCTCTAGATGACTTGGGTTTACTTGTTCTGAAGCTGGCTTTCTCAACATTTGTGTAAAGGGGTTGAGAGGTTAATCCTGTTCACTCCCTCCAGCCCCACCGGAATCTATTTTCCTCAGGGATCCAACATCCAGTTCTTGGCCTCTCTTTTCAGGACCGAACTGCCAGGCCAGCCCACCACATCTTGGGCTTCTCACTCCATTTTTGAGAAGTAAAGATTGAAGGACAAGTGTGTTGTGCGGCCCCAGCAGAGGGCACAGAGGATAGAGAAATTCCATTTCTTCTCTGGGATCCTTGCCAGCACCCTCTAACCATCCCAAACTGTTAATCTTTCTCTTTCTGTTTACCATGTAATTGTACATGATTCAAATACCTTGTTCACACTGACTTTAGACAATTTTTATGTATGTCTACTGTTGATGGCTTTCTTGCTCCATCCTGTGTTGAACCATTTTTAAAAGCTATCACTAACCCAAAGATGTTCCACCTAGCAGACTTGTACTGAAGGTTTGAAGAGGTAATAACCAGGGCAGGGACTGGGGTGAGGTGAGTGGTACTTAACCTCAGGTGCAACACTTAAGGGGCCCCACAAAAACCCAGTAATCAAGATAAATAACCATGATGAACAAAATATCAAATTTTAAACAAAGACAGGATCATCTGTAAGGATTCATATTAGCCATCTATATTCTTAACATTTTTTGCAATCATTCCTGCCACCAGAAATGGCTCTGTGGCCTACTTGACTCCCCAGTACCCCCATGTCCAACCCACAGGTCCTTGTTGTGGAAATACCTTACCTTTTTTTTGCTTATTCCCAGGCTGTCTCACCTCTCCCTCCCTCTCTCCCCTCCGCACTAATGGCATACTTGAGGAAAGTCAGTATTATTCTTAGTTTATTATGTAAAACAACTTATCTCTCAGTCTCATCTTTCCTCTGCTCTGCTTACTGGCTTTCCAAAACCAAAGTGGCTCTGGGATGTTTTGTAAATAGTCATAGGCCTATTGTACTTTACCAACATAAATAAATGATTTTCAAAATTAATTCTCAGGTATCACTGTTTTTTTTATATTAATGTCTGTAAAATGAAAAAAACAACAACACAGATATTGACTTTCTTAAGATTCATACACTGCCATCCCCATCTTCAAAAACAATTGGCAATTGGCTGACAATCCAGGTATGTGTGTGAGAGAGAGAGAGAGAGAGAGAGAGAGAGAGAGAAAAGAGAATGAATGTGTCTACTTTAATTTTACAAAACAGAGTGGATCTTATCCCTGCTTTATAAGTGAGGGGCTAAAGTTCAAGGAGGGGAGAGGTGAACTAGCCCAGAAAGTGTCATGAGCTTGATTCATATTGCTACCACCCATTCTCTGACCCTTAGTGTAACCTTTTGTCCTTACCACTCTGATGAATCCACTCCCCAGTCTTATGACTTCTTCATTCTTTAAAGTATTACATATGTCTCTTTTTTCTCCATTGACCCCTTCCCACCGCCACTCTCACCCCCGAGGGCAAGCCCCCACCGCCCCAGTGTCTGTGTCCATTGGTTATGCTAATATGCATACATACAAGTCCTTTGGTTGATCTCTTATGACCTCTTCATTCTTAAATCCTTGTGTGCTCATTATTGTAAAAGTCTGTTGCTTTGATTAGTTAGGACTCTTGCTAGGATATACAGGGTCTGAAGCAAATAAATTTTTGCAAGCCCTTTATCTATATAAACAACTCGATTAAAAATGTATCACACAATTCACAGGCCCATGTGAGGAATGGTGGTTTATCAGCGAATTTTTAGGATAATGGTTAGTGAGGTAGTACTTACATATTTGTTTATTGTGCAGCCAGTGCACATGGAGCCTGCAGGTGCATCTATTCCAGAAGATTCCTGAGGAAGAGTGCTTAAGAGGTGCATTTTTTGATATCTTGCATGTTTGAAAAAGTCATTATTCAACTCACATTTGATTGGTAATTTGCCTAGAAATAGATTCCTGGATGGGAAATTAACTTCCCTCAGAATTTTGAAGGTATTCCAGTTAGTGAAAGTATAGGCTAAGCTTCATAACAAAGAAGCCCCACAATATAGTGACCTACACATCTGATCAGTAGTTCCTATATTATCTCTTCTATTTTCCAGCTCTTTTTTAGTATTTTCTTAGAGACTTTCTCAACTTCCCCACCTCTTCTATTGCATTAAAATTTTTCTGCTATTAAAACTTTTCTTATTGTTTGTTACTTTTAGAAAAACACTTTGTTCTTGTTCCAAGGATGCTAAATCTTTAATATTTCTGAACATGGTAATTACAGTTTTTTAAAAAACTTCTATTCCTGTTTTCCTGAATCCCTTTTTTCTTTCAAATGTCTCACCAGACATTTAGCTTTCTCTTCACATTTAAGAGGGAGGCAATACATTTCAAAAGTACAAATTGGTAGTTACAACATAGTCATGGGGGATGTAAAGTACAGCTGAGGGAACGTAGTCAATCATGTTGTAATAAACTACGTATGGTGTCATGTGGATACTAGACTTATCAGGGGGATCACTTCGTAAGTTATATAAATGTCTACCCATTAGCTACATCTGAAGCTAATATAATTTTGAATGTCAACTGTAATTGAAAAATTTTTAAGAAAATGTGATTGTGCTCATTGGTGGGGCTTTTCAAAGGAATGGGCAGAGACCTGATCATTTGGGAGGACAACTTCAGTATGAGAATTGTCAGGTCTGTCCTCTTGCATTGGCTGGTTTCTCCAGAGACAGATATCTCACTTTCCTGATTGGGGTGTATAAACCTGACCATCAGCATTCTCGGTAGCATTTGGAGAAAGAGAACCGGGAACTCAGTATTTAGTGTGTTGGCTTTCACTTAGATTTTCTGTTTTCAATAGGACATACCCCAAGTCCAGAGTCCC